ACATCTCTATGGAACCCGTTCTCATCCCGGTCAGAATTCCGGCTGTTTTTGATGCTGGTAGGGAAGATCACCGGGGGCCGGATCATGATCCTTGGAGGGGAGCATCGAATGCAGGGGTATTGTGCATGCGTCCCATCAAATCGTTGCCTTTATCGAGCGTAGTGTAGCCCTAGGCCGCTGCGAGACAACTCAACGTCTGTAGGCGCCCGAGTCTCTATGTAGAGAAAACAAGAAAGCAGGATGTTTAGGAGCGGCAGCCGCTTCAATCAGAAATGAAAGTTGGGCCACTAATGCTGGATACTTGTGCCAAGAGACACGCCACATTACTGAAGACAAATCCTCTCCTCGAAGGCGGCCGATTCGGAATAAAAAACAAGGCAGGAGACTAAAGTGGCTGTCTGATGTAGTATACACTATCCCATGTTGCGATTAGTTATGAGACGCACGACAGAGGCACCGGCTCCTCTCCCTGGGGTCGAAATATCCAGAATACGTACTTTGCTTTCATCAGGTGTCATATGTACCGTATATATGTGATACCGAACAGCAAGAAGGAAATGATGACAATTGAGATGGCCTGATATACACTTTATTACGGAGTTGTATTGACAATGGCTACCATGCCAGCTTGCAATTACATCAAATACTGTATAACATTTAACATAAATTGCTCGAGTTTTCAATGGTCAATTGGAGAGACAGTTCTACATTAGCGCAGTGTACATATGCAAGAACTTAAGCGTACCTATTTCGCTTGCGCCGCAGAAACTGGATACCTACTACACATGAACAATATAGCTGTATACTCTGCATACTTCATATGTGCTTGTAAAGAAATTACCTAGTAGCCGTTGGGTACTCCACATCGCCCTTTGTATTCAAATCGACCTTGCCAATCATAGCCCATTCCTGTCGGCCCAAAGTAGATACCCCCCGGACATGCCAAGAGACAGAAGCAACAATGAATCCACATCGTGACCGTGTACGTGGAATATTGTTGTTTCCGCTGACTCCTGTGGTGGGACGCTCCGGGAGGGGCAGCAGGAGGAATCTAAGCAGTGGAGATTGTGGATAGGATAATTGCAAATGAAGCAGCCGAGATCGATCTTCGCTCTCTCAGCATACCTATCGAGATACGCTACATCAAGAAAACCAAGGCTTTGGAAGTGCTATTGGGCTTGATTCGGCAGTAGGAATCTATCTTACCCTGTCGTAGCAAACACACCCAAGGACTGCAAGGGAACATGTACAGTGTAGGTGAATCAGCGATCTTCTTGTCCTAATTTGCCTCCTGCAGCATCTGGCCGGCGGCTAGCCAAGGCACTCGCCTAAGGCTTATTGGGATACCAATCATGATGGGCGTCTCTTACACGATACCTGGCGCCCTGGAGGATGCCACCTGCATGGCGGTATGAAGTCAGCCACCCAGGGATGACCAGGGCAGACGGACCAGTGATTCAAGGTCGCCGTCTTGAGGAGCAACTAGTACGTACAGATGTATCGACGATCTTCATTCAAGAAAAGAAGAGTGCGGCCAAGATATCTGGCAAACGTCGACTCCCAAATGTTTATAAAAGAAGGTTGCCATCGCCCTCGACAGACTGATTCTCTTCTCCTCTTCATCCCAAGCAGCAATTCCAAGAAGCCTCCTAATCTTCACTCTCACTCAACAATCCTAAACAAAACTTTTGTTTCCAAAACAAACCAACCCTTTCCAAAATGCAGACCTCTCTGATTGCTATCCTCGGCTTCATCGCCACCGCCGTCACTGCTTCTCCTACCGGCGGTAGCCCCTACAAAGCTTGCGGTGGCCAAGGCCTCTACAGCGTTCCCCAGTGCTGTGCTACCGATGTCCTCGGTGTCGCTGACCTTAACTGCGCCTCTCGTGAGTAAAATTATTGGAACATGTGCTTGTTCATCAAATGAATCCCTCAGCTAACAGAGTTGGTTTAGCCTCGAAGGTCCCCACCAGCGTTCAAAGCTTCAAGAGTATCTGCGCCGCTGGTGGCCAGCGCGCCCGCTGCTGCGTCGTCCCAATCGTATGTTCATTAAGCTTAATTACAAGAGAAAAGTATACTGACGTGCTGCGTACAATAGCTTGGCCAGGATCTTCTCTGCGAGACCCCCACTGGACTCGGTGAACAGTAGATGCCAGATACAAACTTGACTGTTACAAAGCGGCGGCTGTTCCGCTAGTGGCATATGGACATGATGGCATATAATGGAGAGACTTAATAACATACTTAGGATGGAGTGATGGAGTAATAGGGGCTGGGCTCTCCTTGGTGATGCTTGCTTGGGACCCTTGTCGAGGTATTCACTGCTTCGGCCAGGGCCACAGGGAGCATGCTACTGGGATACATATTTAGCACAGAAAATTCTGGTCTTTGGATAGTTTCTTAATGAAAATATTCTTTGATCAAACACTTTCTCTTTAGCCGTCCGCTATTTCGATCGTAATTCTAATTGTGCTCAACAACCTGTGAATGCTAATCATCGTCTTTTATCGCCTGTTATCTGTAAAACAGATTGTTTATTCATAAATGTATCAGAGGCTCCTACTCGTTAGTATGATAGTAATGTATATCCAACGTATACCTGACATTGCCTGTCAGTCTTTTCTCCCCCCGTTAGGTCTGTCAGCATCTCGGTCTCATTGCTGTCTTGAAGCCTCAGCATACCTGTCTAATCAAAATGAGAGAAGGCTCCGGCAACTAGGTTGACTAGTTAGTAGACAACAATTATATTCATAACAATACAGTTCCAATGTCTCAGAGCCAGAAAATCATGCGACGAACACATGTCGATTTTCCCACGTGATTTCCTTAGTCATTAGTTAGGCTCTTGGTGTGAAACAGAAGATGAGATGTGATTCTTCCAAACGTGCACTTTGTCTGGTCTGCTGCAGCCACACACACTTCCTGAACTATTCTCAACGCTAATTTTGAGACAAATGACATACAGTGCTCGTCATCGCGCATGCATATGCAACCGAGGCCACTCGTCCACCTATACTACTTACACTAATGGCCCCCCACGGGGGTGACCGCGCTATATATCACCACCCTACCTATAAAATTATAGCACCAAGCCACCAATTCTCTCCTATCCCATGGTCTTGGTAAGGCTACTGGTGCTGTACGCCCTCGTCAAGCCTTTGAAACACGGTACAAATTGGATCAGTCACCGAGGCACCTCTTATTTCCATTATAGCTTGTCCCTTCACCGGCTGAGAAAGATGTTACACAAGAGCATCTAAGCCGCTTCAGGGTAAATCTCCGGACCGTCTGTATATATCAATGGAAACGTCTTATCCTCAAATCGTTTGTGATTATTAACGTTGTTACACGTGTGCTAGGAAGGAGCCTACGGTATTCTACAACTGCAGTTTCTCGCATATATCACCTTTTGCAACTGCATATCTCATACCGAGAAGCACTAATGAGTTTACTCCACGTTACATATAGAAACACGGAACGACAGCTAGTACTAGTGAGGCTTTGAACGAGCTGCAGTCGAAAGGCCGAGTTACAGCAGCCTTCATCACCGTTATTCCATATCCCCTGCAATAGTGGTCGAAGCTCAGATATACTAGGTTTTACGACGTAAGATCGCCATAATACTCTCTCGGCTCTAATATTCCATCGGGACATGAGACACCTCGTTTTTTTTTTTTTTTTTGAGAGGAAAAGATTGGAACAGAATGTGATCAAGTTAGGCAATTCTTATGAGATAATTTTAATTTACAGATAAAGGTATTAGTTTCTCTGCACCGGCATTACATACATTGCTATAAGAAAGGTGAAACTGCAGCAATCAGAATGAAAGGATGATAGCCATTAGACAGATCCTGCCATTTCCGGGAGAATGGCGCAATTCCCAAAGACATACTACTTTAGCCACACTCTCTCGAGGACGACGTTGATATTTAGTCCTTCGAGCTAAGCTAGCCGGCTACGTTTGCGGGACGTCCCGCTATGGTACACCTTAGCGCTGTACCTACATGTATTCGCCAGTTATGATGTCGCTTTCAAGTAGTCTATCATCAGCTATGCGCACAGCTCCTAGTTGGGGCTAGTGGCAGAAGAACGCCATTCACCATCATATATCCTGGATTTTATGCGTTGCCTCAGCGAGGAGACTTTAACCTGTGCCTTTATGACTTCATACCTAAGCAGTCATAAATTGCGATAGAGACTATTTAAGGAGTCCGTTACATGCTGGATTCAAAATTGGCTAATGAGCGGGATGAACCATTAGTATAAGCAAGCGTGGGTTTATAAGACCGAAAGAGGCAAGGAATGATTGTGGCGATCTGGAGGAAGGGTGTTGCCGGACTGTTCATATACTATCTACCATGACTCGTGTCAAAGAAACTAAACCGTGTTGTAATTAAAGCGATAATACCGTGCCAAGACTTATATACTTGGAACAGCCTGGCTCGTGGGAAGAGGTGTTCTTAACATAATCCAAGAGTAGTCGATGTAATAGAGCATGAGGACGCTGACGTCCATGCTAGAGAGAGCAGAGACGCGTACATACATAGCAGAATGGCGGTTGTATTCAGAACAATTAGAAGGAAAGAAACAAGTCAGAGACTATAGGAGATATAGATATATATATGGTTGTTAAGGTGGAGTGTACCTAACACCCTTACTTCAACAGTCCAGGCGACAGAGACTAGACTGTTATATGGGAGTTGTATGCGTTAAAATACTCTAGTGCTGCTTTAGTATAGAAGAACAAGTCATTAGTATATTGGAATTTGTGGAATCTGCAGCTGAAGTGGAAAGAGAGGAGTGTTTATTAACAGAAACTATATAAGGAGAAAGAATTCGTAAATGTCGCGATACGACTCATAGTACAAGAGCTACGTGTGTTTGTATTCGGACGTTGAATATGAAAGGTATCGAGCTCTCTGTGTGGTAAAGGAAATCTCACACCATACTCTTAGCCTATGAAGGCCTGACGATACATATAAAAAGATAAAATGAAATAGCAACCCATTAGGGGATTCGAACCCCTGCATTCTCGCTGAACAGAGTACAGACCGGAAACGAGCGAGCTAACCACTGCTCCAAATGGGCATCACCCATCTTCTTAAAGTATGTGTAAATTCTCTGTAAAGTCTATAATACCTTTGGCCATGTATGTGGTCGTCGAAAGAGGAACAGCCTCTCTTGGGGACGTAGGAAGTACAGGGCGGTGTCCTGGTGTAGAGATGCAGATGCAATGTACGGAATCCGAGGTATGCGTCCGAAGCACATATAATGCAGTACCTGTGGATTACCTCGCAGGATGCGTGGTAGGTTGTGAGTAATAAGTCAAGGTATTACTTAATTATACTTATCGACTTTTAATACTTGGAAAGACTTCATGTCAATGACTTGTGGGATTAGGCAGAGATATACACTCTATTAGGGAACCCCTTATCTTTATGATGAAGTTTGGGTTTTAGCTCACGAAGATGAGCTTATGCCATTATTAGGTGCTTTAGGTTAATAGAGAGAGGGCTTTAGTAACATATCGTGGAACATTCGTATTCGGTAATAGTTATTAAATGTGAATATAATGTGCTCACATACCCTAATTAATGACTAGGACTGTACTGCTTAGTCTAGGTACCTGGATAATACAGGCAGAACCTGTTCATTGTCTTGAAGTGACCACCGTTATAACTGTGCCGAGGTCTAAGGTTATGAGCTACCTTAATTCCTAAGCAGCCACCCGATTCATATTCATGCACTTCAGTCTGAGTATAGTACCGTATTCGACCATATTATGGTGGTCACCTTATATTTGTGAGTAGTCAGCGATATTGTCGATATTTCCGTTTGAGTGAGAATTTCCCCTACGACGGTTGAAAGGGAAGGTGGGTATTTTCAGTAGAACTGTCTCTTTCGGGGGAACTTGTGACGTTCGATAATTTATATATACAACCTCTTCGAAAATCGAGGTAGTCCCATTTCTCGATTAGGATGTGTGAACCATATTTGGGGCGCCTTTTAGTCAGAACATTATTTCCAAGTTGTATGAGAGCCTCAGATTTGAAATATTCATCTTTACGCGAGGATTCCCGATGTATCTTCAGGTCGTCTCTATTGATAATCTACGCATCAGTTACACAGGGTAACTTAAGTGCACGAGGTGAGGTCGACAGTAGGTTTAGTCTGAGAGCCTGATCAGAAGATTTCGAAATATCTAGCTGGGTCTTCCAAAATGTTTTTTCTGCTACCACTGGGCCATAAAGAGTTCGAAAGGGCGCAGACATGGCATTAGTGCAAAGTTATATTTCGAGATGTGTGACTTGACTCCAAGTTCTACCAGCATGTAACGAGCTACTACATGATTTAAATGTTACGGCTTTCAATTTGTATTTATCAATTTATCAAAGCTCCTACGACTATATTGGTCTCGTAGTCAATAACCTATACTGTTGTTGAAAGTACGAGACCTTTCCGTGGGAGAAGGGGCTGGGTTGATTGCCTTATCAACCATACCCCAGGGGTACCAAAGGTATATAGCTTGTGGACGACACTTACAACTAGCAGCACTTTGTCGCTCTATTTGATTTGCAACTTAGAATTGTAGTGGTCATCCGGGCCTGGTTCACTTAACCCTACTTGGTGACGATACAAGGTACCTGATTATATGCTTTCGTCTAATGCTTACACATACAATAAGTTGGAGGAACTGATACTCAATATTCTAACCTGAACAATAACCTAATCAATATTCTATGGGGGTATAAAGCAAATCAACCTTTTCTCTAGAACCACGTAATTAGCCACCTAGCCCGCTCTTATTTCGGAAGTCTCATCAAGGATATTCCTGGTGAGTTTCGCCCACGTAAGTCCATTGATGCGGCATGCAGCCGGTTTCTGTCGTGATGACCCTGTTCCAGTGGAGACAAAGGCCCCTGGTGATCTGCCTGTGCGTGTCTGCGCGGTCGCGGATATGATCCGCTCACGCTCATCTTCCTCGGGCGCATCTTGGGTGGAGGAGAGGAAATGGGTGTGGTGTTCTGCGACGAGGCGGAAGAGGTAGAACCAATAGACGAGTCGGAGCCCCGAGTATTGTTGAGAGAGAAGATGCTGGACCGTCTCATTGCCCGCCTGTTCTCTTCTTCGAGTCGTAGTCCTTCGCCGAGCTCTGAGAGAATATCCTGGGCTGATCGTCGCTTATCGCTTTGTTTGCCCAACCTCATCTCCCACCACTTCCTACCGCTCCCAGGCGGCGAATACTCGACGAGCGTGTCGAGCGCCTCGTCCACCTTCTGCATCTTCTCGTCATTTAATTTCAGATGAGAGTGCTCCGACGCAAGCTCCAAAAGTGCACACGCGTCTGCCGCTTCTCTGTACTTGCTTGCATCCGATTCATGAAGGCCACAGGCGTCAGCCTTGAAGACGAAAAGATCCGAGAGGGATATATATGGCGGCTTCTTGATGTCCCCGACGTCGGGTAAGTAAGGGCAGAGCCACACAGGCGTGATCTTCACTTCGATAACCCAGCCAGCTGGGCTCTTATAGAACAGGCCGCGGTCATTCTCAATGATAATCTTTTTTCCATGAGCGTGAGAAAGGAGCGCCTTCTTCACGGAGCCTGGTGATGCATATTTGACGACGAACTCTATGCTCTAACGGGCGCAATCAGCACTCGGCGCGTCATAATACCGGTTTCATCTCATCTTCAACTTACATGTATTTCGCAGGGTCTTGATTGTGATAGGTATTTCGCGACCGCTAGGTCGCCCACAAGCACAAGTGGAACATTGACAAGCTCAGCTACACCTTGTATGAGGTGGATGACTGAGAGCGCAGCCGCCTCTAGATCGGCGATAGAAGGTTGAGCCATACCTGACGACGAGTGCGGCATGTTGAGAGAAAGGTTGTAAAGCTGGTGCGCCAATGAGCAAGCATTATGACTGCTTAAACAGTCATTTCGACTGGATTTAAGTCAACGTTAAAGGTTACGGGCCTCCGAAACTCAATCTGAACCTACTAAATTGGGCTGGCGTTTGATACCTAACAGGCCTAACTAGGTAAATACGGCAGCCCGAAACAAGGATTATGGCCAATAGGACGCCGGGGTCGGCTATATTAATGTTATTAGTCTGGTCTCTGTTGTACCCCAAAGGGTGGTTGTTCCCCCTTTACTGCCCCTGTAATAATGATTGTGCTAACTGTCAGACGATCCTTCCAGGCAGATCGCAAAGCCGCCCAGTCCTCGAGGGATCTCTAATAAAATTTTTTCCGTCTCGAAATAGATAACTATAGGGATCTCTTTTGCGGAATGCGACCGTCTACTTGATGACGGGAGACGCGCTGACGAATTGTCACTCAGCGTGGCTGGCTCGGGAAATGAACGGACCCGCCTAGACCAGGACAAGCAGTGAACGTTGGACACCAACTCGCAATGGGCTTACGAAAACGCGACAACAAATAATTCGGAGGACGCGGATGGCACGCTTCAACGTGCACCGTCGCAAGTGATCGCCATACCGGACATCTGTCCATCCGGAGTTTACCCTTTCTTCTCACGAGTCTGCATGTATATGGATTTGGCTATTATAGTGCTCTTTTAACTCGCTACAGCCTTTCGCAACCTACAGGTGTTACTCTGAGCGATGTAAGCCAATTAATCAAGCAGGGAGGTAATATCCCATGATGCGGTACAGCAGCAATCAAGAAGCAATAATTCGTAGGTTCTGATACCTACTTAGGTAGGACTATATAGGCGACAAGTGAAACGTATTGAGGGATTCGTGATGAGCAAACACGGCCGTCATACCTGTGTAGCTCAGATGCCACAGCCTTCATTCATTCAAACGCCGTAATCCCGCCCGGGCACAGACTCGGGGTTTCTGTGACTGTGACTCGGTACGCCTTAGCATACTGAGCAGATAGAGGTTGACTCTACGACATACGTCGGTCACGCCCATCATGCGCAAAGGGTATCGTCATATCGGGGTTCATCCTAGATGTATAATAGGTGACTTTAAGGCTATCGAAAAAGCTTAGCGATATGTGCGCACTGATACTTGCCCGTGGTTGCGTTGGCCATGTCTCTACTTCGGGATTTCGTAATTGAGTACCCAGTTGTGTTATCGCATGATCAAAGCGGCCTTTCATTGACGGTTTTCCAGCCTAGAGACTTACTATTATGATGTAGTCTTGAGGAGGCATCCGTGAATAAGAAAGTTTAGATGCTTAGGATACGACTATATTCCAACCCCCTGCTGTTCCGCATTTTCAGTCATTTTATTATGCACCACAATATTCAGCTGCCTTCATCCGTAAGTCACTCTTATCAAAAAGACCAATTAATGGCCTATAATTGATAGAAATCAATGCTTGTGAACAGTGTAAATTTATCAATTCAAGAGGAAAGCAAGTGGCCTTAGCTTATATTCCGGCAATAGCATTCTCTGGGCGATCCCGTAAATTATTACACACTATACTAACAGATGAATCCGGGCACTTATCAACAATAGCTAAAACTCACCATTTTCACAAGCAAATAAAACTGCGACAAATTGTGATATAAAAACAAAAAAAATAAAAATAACATTCAACAGTATAATTAACTGAGATTTAAATTGTTTAGTATCTTTTATATTCTATTTAGCTGTTTAGTGTTGTTTTATTTGCTGGTAAATAGTACTGAGTTTTGGTGAGAAATAGCATAGTGTCCGGATTCAACTGTCTGGTGGGTGTACCTACATGGATGCTTATCCGCACGCGCTCGGCTCACCAATTCACATGTTATGTGAGATCAAGAGCCAAGAACTCAAACAGCTAGGTATGTTGCTGTCCCAGATTGTCTTGAAGTTGCTGCACCTCTATCCGGAGCAATGCTTAAGAGGGCCACTAGGCACTTGAGGCTGTTTTAGTCTGGGTCCTGGTAAGGTCGTCTACTTTGATCTGCTTCCCGTTCACCTTCCTAATTTTCCGTTTTCCTTCTCACAACTATTTATTTGAATCTTTTGATATGTGCAATTTGATATCACTGAGTTCAGTACACAATCATACGCGACGAGCTACGAGACATGCTCCGACTAGGCACACTCCGTCGCGCTTCCTCATAG